AGAGAGAGGGAGAGAGAGAGAGAGAGAAATAATTATTAGAAGGAAAAGAAAAGAGAGTGAAAGGGGTAAAGTAAAGCGAGTTATGGAATCTGGTTAGAACTGATGACTTCAAGACATGTTTAGAAACAAGCCCAAACACGTAGGGATTCATTTTCGACTGATCTCACATCATATTATCTAATTATTATAGGTTTTTTTCCATGCTTTTTTTATGATAGACTAAGTAATTTTGTTTAATTATTTAATATAAAGTATGTCCTTGGTGTCTGCTCTGCGACATTAACACATTCTCGTATATTGCATTCCCGCTCTACAGACCCAACCAATGGTGCGAGAAGTCTCTGTATTTCTTCAGTGTGGCTATCATTGTGGCCGTGTACGCAGTTCTGGCACTCGTCATCCTGGGGATGTGCTGTCTGACGTGCGTGTACAAGACGAACGGCACCAGGACCAGGTAGTGTCCGTGACACAGCCCTCTGTGTGGCACCAGGACCAGGTAGTGTCCTTAACACAGCCCTCCGTGTGGCACCAAGAACAGGTAGTGTCCTTGACACAGCCCTCCGTGTGGCACCAGGACCAGGTAGTGTCCTTGACACAGCCCTCCGTGTGGCACCAGGACCAGGTAGTGTCCTTGACACAGCCCTCCGCGTGGCACCAAGAACAGGTAGTGTCCTTGACACAGCCCTTCGTGTGCCACCAGGACCAGGTAGAGTCTATAACCCCGCTCTCCGGACACAAGGACAGCTTGGTTTGTTCCAGTCAGGTGGTGCTCTCGTGAATGTTCCAGTCTGGTGGGGCTCTCGTGAATGTTCCAGTCTGGTGGTGCTCTCGTGAATGTTCCAGTCTGGTGGTGCTCTCGTGAATGTTCCAGTCTGGTGGTGCTCTCGTGAATGTTCCAGTCTGGTGGTGCTCTCATGAATGTTCCAGTCAGGTGGTGCTCTCGTGAATGTTCCAGTTTGGTGGTGCTCTCGTGAAGGAGTCAGGCTTAGAGAATGGCTTTTACCGTGTAGTGTCTGATTAAAATCAAACATTTAGTCTCACTCACTTTGAGTTTATTAAGTGGGATTTTGCAAGAAATTTGACTAGGTCAAGGCACCTAGAATGAATTTAATCTGTCGAATACCCATATCAACAAGTTGTTTTTGAGAGGAGAGCATACACGTTAATTATGTAAAATATTATTTTATAACACGATTCCTTTTGGGATAAAGAAAGAGAATCGAAATTTAATAAACAACGTACTTACATTAACAGTTGATCTTTTTAAAAAAATCATATTCTGTAGGTTTGAAATATAAACGAAAGTCAAATCAAACAAAGAAACCAAATATAAATGATGTCATAATTGAGAATCAAATTCGTCACAATCGACTGCACCTCCTGCTCAATAAAATCAAAATTCTGAAAAAAAAAAAAAAAAAAAAAAAAAAAAAAAAAAAATAAAAAAAAAAAAAAAAAAAAAAAAAAAAGATGGATGTTTCTACGATTTATTCCCTCTCTCTCTCACACACACACACACAAAATAAATAAATCTGACCAATCAATCTGATTGATCACATCGCAACTGACAAAACTATGAGTCCCTAAAAGGGATCATCTTGCCCTCGGCCATCTTAACAGCTTGACTATCCCCATGGACACAAGGTGTGCCTTCAGATGACATACTTTGTCTCGTGAGGGACGCACCGGGGTGGATGTCTCACGGAGTGGACGCCACACGGAGTGGATGCCACACGGAGTGGATGCAACACGGAGTGGATGCCACACGGAGTGGATTTGAAACAGAGTGAATGTCACACTGAGTGGATTTCAAACTAAGTGAATATCACACGAGGAAAAACGACTAAGAGAAAATTCATTTGAGATCCATTTTTCATTCAATGTGTTAAATATTTAGTAAAGTTGAAGATTAATGTCATTGGTTTATGACTGAGAATATGTGCAACAAACAAAAAAGCAATAAGAGCACTATGTGTTTGATGTGAGGACTGCCAGACTCCTTCAATAGAAGCACTTTGTGTTTGATGTGAGAACCGCCAGACTCCTTCTTTGAATGTCTCATAACGACAACGCGAGTTAATTATTTATTTATTTATCTTTTTTTTACATTTTATTACTAATGTGGCCAAAGTTTGGATTAAATTTTAAGTTTCTATACGTTGTTGGGAAATTTGTTATGGTAGAGTTTTATGTCACGAACTAAACATGAGTGTCGTCCCTCTGGCCGGAGCAAATAGCTTTTCTATAAAAACAACTTTCATTAATGATATGGAGCTCTAGTTTGTCATATAGCGTTGGTTCGTTTTAAATATTGTCCCCATACATTTCAATGCATCCTTAATTTTTCCTTGTACCGAACTGTAAGTTGTTGAAATTACACGCGTCTCTTTTGTTTTTAAACAGGCGATCCCTAAGCCTTAGAGATTAATCCTTACCTAATGATATTATACTTAATAGTTGCTTTTTTTCCATGCAAGGAAATGTTACTTGAAGATATATTTAAAATATCATTAAACACTTCACTTTCAATTCAGCGTCTGCTGTGTCGCCCAATTTTTGCAACAAAAAAAAAAATAATTTAAAAAATTTGATAGTGTCTTATTCGCACAAATAATTTTTTTTAACACATGCACGATGTTATGATTTGCGCATCTTTCTGGCGCATGTCGTCTATTTTCCAATAATATTTTGTCAGTTGCTAATTAAACTCCCTCCAAAAAAACGGAGTGATTTGTAATTACCTCTTTTGTTCTTTATCTAGTTTTTGCTCCTCTGAAGGTTAATAAATATAACATTGTTTAAGCATTTGTTATGGCACAATGGATTTCCTTGAATTTGCAGGAGACTATTTAAAAGTCCTAACATTATTGCTGTTCGCTGGTGTCTTTACACTTCAACAAATATCTTAAATGTCGCCAATACATGGGGGATTTCAGATTTGTCTTGTCATTTTGTTAATATAATAATCTTTTTGTATGAAATTGTTTTGTTGCTTTTTTAATTATTATTTTTAAAATTTATAAAGTTGTTCTTTTTTAATTAACTCTCTTTTTTCGCAGCATCTCCACTTTGATCTCCCTTTTTCTTGTTTTCTTTTTTTATACATTTACTTTGATACTTATAAGTAGGACATTTTATAGACGTTGTACTGTTTTATGATACACTAGCCACAGCCCGCCAAACAGAGGCGGCAGCAATGCATGAACTTGAGGTAGGTACTTGAGAAAACATACATTTAAAAGTAACGCAATTTATCAGATTGCCATTCAGTGCTGAGTGCTTTCCTTCTTCCCAGTCCCAGGTACGCCACCGCCAATTAACTCTATTACTATTACTATTCTAGTGTCCCACCCGATTTTAAAATAAAAAATTCCGCACCAAACGCACGTGCGGTATTTATAAGAGTGTCATGTAGCGCAGCATTAGTTGATGGTTTGTTTTGTGTAGATTTCTTTATATGTGAGTGGTTCAAATGTTTTGGGATGAACTTTTCAGGACAGCAGAGTTATTTGATGGTCGCGTATTTATTGTTATGTTGAATGTGTCCTGTTATTATTCTACTGGCAATAATGTATTACAAACATTATTAGTTTTTGTAATCCCAAATATAATGTTGCCCTTGACATCTGTATCATTTGTACGTAATTGAAAGTAATTTATCTGCCTTTCAAATATTTTTGGAAAAAAATAGTGTTTTGATGTAAATTTGTTAACATGTTACTAAGTTAAAATAATTTTTTTTTAACCTTCAAGTTTTTCTTGCAAATTTATGCGTAAAGATTGCATTATTGTGATTTGAAAATAAAAATGTGCTACGATTAATTTAGCAAAATTCTACTGCTACAATTAAAAATGAAATAATTTAAAATGTGCTCTACAATTGAATATAAAATTTTGTTGTAATATATTACTTTTTTGTGTTATTATAGGCTATCCTTTAGAACAACTCAACAAAAGATATTATTATCACCATCTAACACTAGCATACGTTATTAAAATCATGGAGTTACATTATTCTTTTTGTAAAGAATTCTTGCCAGCGCTGACCATTTGGAATCAGTCTGGACTGAATGTACAGCCGAAAGACATACAAAAAAAAAGACTTTCCTCTGCTTTCATTTTATTAAAGTCTTCAATTTAGGTTTCAGTTTAACACCACTTTTATTTAGCTTTGATTCAGCCCCACAGAAAGATACGACCACAATGACGGACAGCTGACAAACATACACGCTATTGGAGCAGAATGAGATTTGTGGTCATTTATCATGTTTCAGTTAAACTACACACACAAATAAATACACGAGTTTGAAACTGTTTGACGAAAAAGTTATTGAGATACAAATCTTTTAGAATTAAGACATTTAAAATAAAATAAAAACAAATGTGATTTTTTAAATATAATTTCTAAATTTAATTCCATGAGTCGAAATGAAAAACATAATCAATTGTCACTTCATTGCTTCATGAACGCTTTTGATGTTTAAACTTAAACTTTTTTTTTTTCAATGAACAACCACGTGTACGAAGTCTGAACAAATCAACATTTAATAAAATCAACACAACAAACATACAAAGAGAATTTCCTAATGCTAATATTGCCAATTGTGACTGGTTTTCTTGTTCATCGGAGCTGTGAACAAAAGGGAAAGGAATATGTACAATTTAATGTAAATGGCTTAGAGGAGAAATGGGGAGTGTCCATAAAATGTGAAACTTAGAAAGGATTAGTTTAAAATTGGTTTAACTATTACTGGAGGAAAAATGTAATACCGGTAGCCACATTTGAAAAACGTTTTATTATAGATTCTATTACCCGAAGTTAAAATAACTCCATTAGCTATTATGTTTTTAGTGTCATTAAAATGAATTGTCTTGCTTGCTTGGGATACTTTTTATAATTTCGTATCTCATTTATTCGAACGAACATTTACTGCAAGAACAAGGATTTAATATTAAATCTATTTTAAGATCTATCACAAAGCAAACTTCCATACCTTCGTTTACTCATCTTCCACGGTGATCTGGATCCTCTTGCCAGCCTCACACAGGGCCTTGTCCTTGGGCACGAAGAAGTAGTCACCTGGCTGCAGGGTGTGCACGACACCAAGGGCGTAGCTCTGGTAGGAGAACGGTGGGATGGAGCACTTGCTGAAAGAAGTGTAGCTGCCGAGGTTCTCGAGGGGTGAGTTGAAGGTGTCGCTGCCAGGGTAAAACTTGACACGGGATCCCTTCTTCAAGACAATCTGTCATTTGATGGAATTATGTGTTAAACATTATTATCATTTTTAAATGCATTTTATTTTTGTCTGTTACTAAACTGTCAGATAAGTATAAAATTATTTAACATGTTTTAAAAATGATTTTTTTTTTTAAAAAAAGCTAGATTACTTGAGTGAAAAGACCTTCAAAATAGTCAATGGAAATATAATAAAGGTTCAAATATTTTAGTTTATCATCTACTACAAGATGTCTCAGCATGAGCACAGTACTCTCATACTCTGAGCTGTCAGCCCTTACTTTGACATGTCCACTCGCCGTGATTAAATATAAGCATTGGAGTTTAAAGAATAAACTAGAAACTATCGTGACTAAACGGTTTAAATTAGCAGGATCAAAATTTAATGAGGAAATATTTATGTGACTTTGGAAAATGATCGGGACCACAAGCCTTCTCAATTGAATCTTCATTATCATTTTATCGAAGTTCGTTCAAGCCATGACAAATACTTTAACCTTTCAGATTCAAGCTTTACCTTAGGTGGTAAAGGATACTTTCTGCCGACTGGAATCTCGACAACATCGTAGTCCTGCTCAGCATGCCTCTCAACAATGATGGCATAATCAGTGTCTTGGTGGTTTAAATTACCCTGGTAATCAGTGGAGGTGAATCTTGCCTGTTGTTCAGAGAGTACAGATAAATTTAAACATTTGGTTATGGTCAACCGATCTTAAAGCTAAGATATTACTTACTCACTTTCCAACGCCTTTTGGCCCATCTGGGGCACAGGCGGTCTACAAGAATTTTCCATTCATCCATGTTCTGTGCTTTCCTCTTTATATTCTTCCAAGTGTATCCCATACTTTGTGTGTCTGCCTCTAGCGCACGTCTTCATGTATTCTTTTGCTTCCTCGCTCATCCTTCTCTCTTGGGATTTCATGTTGGGTATTGTGATGTTATATTGGAGCTTACGAAGTGTGTGCCCCATCCACCATCTTTTCCTTGTGATCTCTGTAACAATAGACTCTTAGTATTTCATTTTCAGTTAGTTTTTGTTGGTGATGAGGTTTGGCCATTTTAGGTTCATGATCTAAGGCAAGTGATTTTGAAGGACATTACTTTCTGCGTGATGCTCGCTTTTGTTCTCCAAGTTTCAGAGGACTCCTTGACATTTTGTGTTGTAAATTCTTACTTTAGTTTGCTGAGTCAGATTCTCAGACTCTGATATTTTCTTTAATAGCACGAATGTCGACCTAGCCTTTACAATTCTAGCCCTGACAACAGTTTCAGATCTACCATTTATGACAATGGTGCTGCCCACGTTTGTGACGGCCGCCAACTATTAAAGTGCTTTTCCTACCAGGATATATGTTATCCTTTCCTTTGTACTCATGACCTTTGTCTTGCTTCTTTTCATTTGGTTATGGCGCAATGTCTTTTGGGCCATTCAGCTGTTCCCAGGGTGTCCACTGTATCCCATTCTTATTTTTTCACTATCGACTAAATGGCACGGATGAAAAGAAGGGGGACAACGGATATAATTGTCTGACTCATGGTTCCACTTTAAATAAATCTGCGAATCTTCCTTCGTGTGCCTCCATGCATGTCATTTCTTCATAAGAACTATGAATGATCCTGACCAGTCTTCAGTCATCTTGACTAATTCTTGCCATTGGATCAAATAGGAAAGGACGAGAGTGTGAGGCTGACGAATTGAGCAACTCCCAACACTTTAAACAAATACAGCTCAAGTGATGGCTACAACTCAAGTCAAATATTTCCTTGGTCATCTTCGCGTTCAAAGAGCGAAAAATAATAATGTATTTTAAAGTTTAAATAATTGCTGGTACAGGGAAACAAATGTGTAGCTAACCTTAACGGCATGGTCAGTAGAGATTTTGCCCTTGCGGATGGCCTCTGTGACGTCGAGCTTCATGATCCTCTCGTAAGCCCATGGCATCTCCTTCTCACCGCCAAGAATGTGGATATTTCCACCATCAAAAGCTTCATCGTTATCGTTAATAAGAGAAATCTGTCCAATAAAATATGTCATGTTATCGTGCGATGACAATGATGATAGTTGATGACAACAGAAAAGACAAATGCATTTAATATCTTACAACATTTAACAGAAAAAAATAACAAACTTTGCGTTAAAGTAACTTGTGGTAACCATTTCTCTGGTTACTAAAACATGACGAATTACTCGTATAGAAATTATATTTTCGGTACTAAGTATTAATTTTAACTGAAAAGGACACTGACGTGGATTGTGAGACTCTTCTGGTGACCGAAGGCGAGGATTCCGACGAAGATTCGCTCCTGGTGGTGGAGATTTTTGATGATGTTGTTGATCTCTTCTACGCTGTTGCCGTTAAGTTCAAGCTTGTCATACTGAAATAAGTATATAACAAAAACTGTGATAGGAGTACACACAAGGAAATAAAACAAATCTTATAGAAAATCAAAGAACTAAAGAGCATCCTGATGGGCTTTAGCGAATTCAGTGTCCCGGAAGAATTTTTAAAAAAAAAACTGATGACCATAACATTTTCTTTAACAAACTATTACTTTCAGTATTAATGACAAAGTGAAATTTACAAAATATTACTTTCGGTATTGATGACAACGTGAATTTTACAAAATATTACTTTCAGCATTGATGACAACGGGAAGTTTACAAAATGTTACTTTCAGCATTGATGACAAGGTGAATTTTACAAAATATTACTTTTGGTATTGATGACAACGTGAAGTTTACAAAATATTAATTTCGGTATTGATGACAACGTGAAGTTTACAAAATGTTATGTTCTGTTTATCGAGAGTCCTTTTAAAGGCATGCCTACACATTCCTACACCGGTCAAGAGTCCTTTTAACTACTTGTTAATACATCCCTAACATAGTTTTTAAAAAAAAAAATTAACATATTCAATTTTGTCCTACCCAAACTTGTATCATTATATTGGATTGAAAGTAATATTCCCATTGAAATTATAGTCTTCCCCAAGAGAAAACTGGCCCATGAAATTGTTATGAGCCTTTGAAAGTAGATCTAGAACAAGTGTTAAGAGTCACAAGTGGTGTGACACTTCGTTCAACTTACCTTGTACCCGAGACGTTCAGAGTCGAACACGACATTGGGCACAGAGTTGAGGCGGGTGAACTCGTTCTTGTTGACCTCGGGGTAGCTGAAGGGTTGCAGTGGTCTCTCCATGATGTGTCCGGCACAGCTGGCACCATTGAAGGGCTTGTGGCGGAGTTTTTGAAGTTCCTGAATGAAAAAAGGATCGATTTTATTCATTAACACTATTTCAATTGTATGAGATTTTACCCTTTTTTAAAATTATTTAACTTATATTCAACGCAATTTGTAAAATTATAGTGGCCATGTTATCTTCGATGGTTAATCTTGTGCAGGATTGATAAAAACTATTTCGTTACGCCGCCCAAGGGAATGTTTTTACCTTACAGTAGTATTCACTGACTAATGCCAACATGACGTGGTTCTCGTCAAATCATTCCTGCAGGCTGACTCAGAAGTTCTATGACATACCTGCCTGATGACCCAGATGTTCAATGACATACCTGTCAGACGACCCAGGTGTTCAATGACATACCTGCCAGATGACCCAGATGTTCAATGACATACCTGCCAGATGACCCAGATCCTGTCAATGCTGGAGTGGTGGATCATGAAGAATGGATCGAAGGCAGAGTAGTCCAGTGTGGCCATGGAGTAGGTGCCTGAGCCGCCGATGTCGGCATGGATCTCGTTGTGGAGGACCTCAAACTGGACCTCGAAGTCACAGTAATTGTCTTCCTCTAGAGTGGTCAATGCCAGGTAGAACAGGTAGGGGAAGCCATGTACTTTACGTTCGCTGTACAGCTCAGATTGGACTTGGCGGGTGGTTTTCTGAATTTAAAAAAAAAATAATTCAAAAGCTAGTAAATTTGAATTTAAAGCATTGTTTTAGCTATTTAATAAGAATTTAGGCCTCTAATCAAATTTTTTTTTTCAAATCCTAAAGATTAGAAAAATTGAGTTTTAATTAAAATAGTTTTAAGATGTAACAATTTTTTCACGTTTTTTAACTTATATTTTTAATCGAATGTAAGAATGAATGTATTTTTAAAAATTTTTTTTTTTCCAAGTCGATTTAATATTGCCAATAATATGAAAGTAACTTACCTCATTAGCGGCTGCGATTCTGAATGAAGCGAATGGATTGTGGTCGGCGTCATCTCCAAAGAATGAGGGCAGAGATTTGACCGGAGTGGTCCAGTCCCAGTATGGCACGCCGATGAGGGCTCCGTTGCTCTTGAGGGCCTGCTCAATCTGGACGGTGAAGAGACGATGCCAATGGGGAAATACGGGCATACCTGTGTGGTGATTGGGAACAAAACAGTCATAGGAATTCTAAATTCATTTTCCTATAACTTCAAATCGTCACAAAATTAATTCAATTGATTTCGAAGGAAAATCAAATCTTAATGTATCTCTACGTTATTAACATGTCCATTGGACTCACCATGCACGTATCTCTACAGCTTACGTTATGAACATATTCATTGGACTCACCGTGCACACAGCAAGCATATTTGTCATCGCCGGTGGCTGGGCACCTGAAGGGGGCACCGTGGAATCCAGCGATGGCCTCGAAGCCGTTGGGGCCCTGGTCATTTTGGAGTTGGTTCAGTGCGTTTCTCAGGTTGGCTGCCTCGTCCAAGGTCAGCTGGTTAACGTTCTTTCTGACCAGCTTATCGTCACGTACGACGGTTTTCTCTGCCACCTTCTCGTAGAATCCTGGAGTAGGCATTAAAGATTTATGAATGCTTTGGATAGACAAGTAGGCATTAAACATTTGTGAATGTGTTGGATAGACAAGTAGGCATTAAACATTTGTGAATGTCTGGGATAGACAAGTAGGCATTAAACATTTGTGAATGTCTTGGATAGACAAATAGCCATTAAACATTTGTGAATGTCTTGTATAGACAAGTAGGCATTAAACATTGGTTAGACAGTTGAGATAAAATAAGTTTAATATAATAAACAGTGGTGTTTTTTCTTCAAATATCTTCCCCAAACATGTTGTACAGTAAATTATGGACAGCCACGTAAAGAAGGGCTTCAGATGAAATGACGTCATTAAAATGAGTGTAGTTAGGCTAAAGCGTTCTTACTCTTGACTCCGGGGACAAACTGCACACTAGGAGATCTAATCAGATTGCTGTCCAAGACGGTTCCGTTGATGGCTTTAATTTCAACATCAAAGTGATAATCGGAGTCGGTTCTGAGGTTCAGCTTATTGAAGACGTTTGTGACGTCATACTTGAAGAGACGGTCAAAGGCCCATGGCATTTCAAGTAGTCCGCCCAAAACAGCGAATGTGCCTGAAAGAAAAATAAAAGCAAACCAATGTTGGGATATATTGTTTCAGAAATTTAAAGCCAACACTTGAAAGGAGTACTGTCTTTTGAATTGTTTCTTTACTATAATTGTTAACTTTATCTCCAAAAATCAGGTTTCTTATACTTAAATCATTGGATCAATAGAAGTACCCAGTAGTTCAATGTGTTGGAACATGTTGACATTGATTTTACCTGTGGGGCAGTACGGATGAATTCATTTTTAGGTAAGACTTTGTCAATACTTTAAAGCTGTGTTAATGTTATTTGAACTCACTGAACCAATTCATGGAACTGAAATGTTTTCATAACACTATAACTAACTTACCAGCGAATTCGCAATGTCCTTTCTCGTCGCACAGTTTGAAAATGACATCAGCACTTGCGCTGAATCCACGGAGAAGGAATTCGGCGAAGATGCGGTCTTCTTCCTTGCGCTTCTCTAGCAAGTCGTTGAGTTGAGAGATGGTCAGGCCGTGGAAGTTGAGGTTGTCGTATTGGTAGTTGAGTCTGAAGAGACAGCAGATAGAAGGTTAAATATTTCAGGCGGCATCTCCTTAATAGTTTTAGAAAAGGAAACAGACGTTGGAGTTTTGAGAAAACTTGCTGGACAAGCGATAAGAGTGGCATGAGAAGGTATTGTGAGAGCTGAGAAATGTTGGAAAACATTAATGGTCTGAGCACTTGATGGTTGTGAACTAAAAAATTTAATTAAGTTTAAACTTAAAAACACCAGCCGCAATCAAAAGCAATTAGACCTAAATACATCAGTCGCAATCAAGAGAAATAAGACTTAAGCACATCTAAATGGCACCTAACGGTATCATAAACTATGGTTGATTAAACGTTAACACACCTGTCGTAATCAAAGGCGTCAATCGCACGTGAGTTTGCCCTAGTGATGGCGTTGAGGTTGTTCTCATCACTGAATGGCCTCATGGGTTGACGGAGGTGCTGGATGGCACAGTTGGCGCTGTTGTAAGGAAGGCCTCTGAACTTCTGAAGGGCTTGCCAGATGGCAAACTGACGGTCAACGTTGGAATGGTGCAGGAGGAAGAGAGGGTCGTAGGCGGTGTACTCTAGAGAGGACATGCCGTACTGAGAGCTGCCTCCGGTCCAGGAGTGGATGGCATTGTGGGTAATTTCAAATTGAACCTGCGGGGATATGCATGACCTTAATTTAAAATTTTCTTAAAAGAAATTGACAATAATTTGGAGGAAACAAAAAATTTAATTTCTAAACCATATATTATCTACCCAAACAAACAATTTTATAGATTAATTCTGATTCAAATAACACTATAATATATCCACGCCATTTTTTAAAGAAATTTTAGCAATGATTTTAATTTAAAATATAAGAAGATACTATGTCTCGTTTTTATATTCCTTCTCAATAATTGCCATACCTCAAAGTCGCAGTAGTCGGTCTGCTCGAAGGTAAAGAGCGCCTGTCTGTAGAAGAAGGACTCGGATCCAAACTCTGGGTCGTTGAAGAGTTGGTCACGTGGTGCCCTGGTGGTGATCTCGCCGTTGTAGATCTTTCCGTGGTGGAATGGGTTGTTGGTCTCCTCTGTGACGAGGGTGGGGAGAGCGGTGAACGCTGTGGTCCAGTCCCAGTAGGGAATGCCGACCTTGGAGCCCTGAGGAAATGAAACGGTCAGGTTACATGTTTACACTCCAATGAATTCATAAGTTGTGCATGTGTGTCATTTTTTTCAAAATTTAAACATGTTATGAAATTTGTAGGAATTTTTATTTTTTGCAAATATAGTGAAATAAATGTATATTTTGAAAAAAAAATAAAATAAAGATGATTATGAATATTTTGCAGCGCAAATTAAGTATTTTTTCCAATGAACATTAGTGATTTAAACCTTTATTTATTTTTTAATGTCTTGAATTCTTTCCAGTAGTCAATGCTGTTTCATTTAAAGATTGGCTCATAATATGAATATTCGCTGGTTGACTATGTAAAGATAGATAATATAAACAGTTACCTGAGAAGTCAAAGCGTCCTCCCACTGTTTGACGTACAGTCTGTGCCACTGAGGGAAGTTGGCCATGCCGTGGAGACAGCAAGCGATGGGATGACCTTGATATTCACATTTGGCCAGGCTGCCGTGGAAGCTGGCGATGTTCTGGATAAGAGATGAAGAAATTGCAAGTCTAAATGATCATCTCGTTAAACAATTTGTAACTTGTTTTTTAATTAACTATTTTTTGGTTTTCAAAGTGTCATTAAAGTAAATTTTTGATGATTTTTAGATATAAACTATCAATCATAATTAATAAACATAACTAATACCGGTAATAAAATTGTTGTGTACTTGATTGCGACAAGGTGAGTGCACATATGATTTAATTATTTGTATTTATTTTGATGAGGTGCTCATTCATACCTGGAAGCCGTTAGGTCCTTCATCCTCTTGGACTTTACGGAGGGCGTTGCGGAGGCTCTCGGTTTCAGACGCGGTGAGGGATGAGACGTCTTTACGGACACCAACGCCAGCAACAGCACTTGTGATGTCAACGTTGGCAACACCTAACACAAAAAAAATAACCCTTTTTTTTCTTTTACTGAGCCACTGTCTGCAAAATTTTCTTATTTTCAAAGATTTAAAAATAGTTTGTTAGAAATTAAAGACATGTCAATTAAACAGCCGCTAAAAACAAAGGGTTTAGTTTAAATCCTTTATAAAATGTAATATCGAGCAGTGGGGCGGTGGGCTGAAATTTTGGCAAAACATGCATACAAGTAATGCCTTTATAAGAATCCGAATTAGTGCTCCCCCTCAAGGCTCGCAAACGCATATTGGTTTTAAACCTCTAAACCATATTAATGTTTAAATTTCCCACTCACTTTCACAGCGCAGGTTTATTTCACTTACTTTAATTAAGAGAAAAAAAGGAAATATTATGCACTTGCAATAATTTTATATAGAATCTTATTTAGCAAAGTTATCAAGATTTTTTCATGAAATCATTGACATCATATTTCCTTAATCTTTCCCTTAAAAAACAGAAGAATCTGATATTTGGCTGCTGAGTTTAGGGTATGGAGCTGAAAACTATATATACTATACGCTATCATCGGAAACAAGTCCATGTGCCAGGTTTCAGCTAGATATGTTGACGGGAAGTGGGTCAGTTAGCCGTCGGAACATTTTGTCAGTCAGCCACAAACAAGAGCGAAGTTGATTTAAAGGATTTTAAGAAGGGTTCAAGGGAAAAACCAGTGATGTCAGGTTTTGAAAAAAATTGAAAAAGTTTTGAAAATTACTCATGAAGGCATAAAAATATCAAAATGTTTATTAATTTTTATTTACAAGCTAAGTTGTTTTTTTCCAAATAATATTATCTAAGACAGATTTATTGATCCAAATAAATGGAAATGTTAATCATGTTTAAATAGATTTTGTCTACCCTGCTTATCAAACTGTGTTTTGGTAATGATACAGGATGAATGTGAAACGTTTGGATGGAAATAAATCCCCAAACGTCCTATCGGGTGAATATGTAAAATTATGTAACAATTGAGCTTGCTGATATGTTTTGTATTCTCATTAACAAGTCAGAGTTTTTTTGTAGCTTTTAAATACCTCGTATTGTAGAAAAACAATGTTTGTAAATATAGTTCACACATATATAACTCATAAGTATGTTATGAATATTTAGAGTCTACCTTTAGCTGGGTCGTATATGATGCTTGGAGTTGGAAAGACCGATTTGACATTGATAGCGTGACCTTCAACATCAAAGACCTTGACATCCAAGGTGAAGAGTGAGTCGGCATCGAACACGCTTTCGGGCTTGATGTCGGCAGCCTCCAGAGCCCAGGTGATGTCTTTCTTGTAGAGACGGTCAAAAGCCCACGGCATCTCAGAGGGTCCACCAAGTAGGTTAAAGCGTCCGGCGTATGTGCATTGAGAGCCCTGGCAGGTAAAGGATTAATATGATGCATATAATTTATCTTGTAAAACACATTAAATGACATTTACTGAATCCTAAAAAATATTTATATTTAATTCTTTACGAACAGTCAGAGAGTTTTCTTTTTACCAACCTTGCAAACGTTCAATACAACAGATCCGGAAGTCTTAATTCCCTTGAGCAGGAACCCGGCAAACACTCTGGGGCGGCTCTGGTGCTGGGCGATGAGCTGCTCGAGTTGGTCCAGATTGTAGCCGCCGATGTTCAAGTTGTCGTAATGGTAGCCGAGCTCCTCGTGGTTGAACACGTCTCTGGGAACTGCGTGTTTCCTAAGAAACAATTTTTTCATTTAACAAATGGAATGTTTGCTTTCAATTACACAGAGAAAAGGTTAGTCAAGTACTCATGACATGAAATGATGCATTTAATTATCATACAAAATTGAAATGAAATTGGTTTGTTTTTGTTATTAATTTGGTGGATATTTTTACAAATTAAAACATCAACTGTATATATAAAATATAAATTTAAAAATAAAGTATTTCCCCAACTTGTGTAAAGCAATTTAAAGTAAAACAATTTGAGAATAAGTTTGACTCTGACTTTCATTGAAGATGTTCACACTGAAGCAAACAGGCATTAATTCTCAGGATTGAATCTTTGATTCGCTTATTTTAAAAATGAACATAATCGTTTTCATCTTGTTCTTACGAATCATTTTAATAAAGTACTCACTTTGTGAAAGCGTTGATGTTGAGGTCAAGGTTGAAGGGCTTCATGGGCTCAGCCAAGTGGTTGAGGGCGCAGTTGGCGGTGTTGGAGGGCAGGTGTCTTCTCTGTTGAAGCTCTTGCCACACGACCCAGATCTTGTCCACGAAGGAGTGATGGATGAAGAAGATTGGATCGTAGGCGGAGTACTCCAGGGAAGACAAGGAGTAGGTCTGCAGACCTCCAACCAAGTAGTGGATAGCATTGTGCATTACCTCGAATTGGACCTAAATGTACAAAGCGTTTATTTAAAATTCACAAAAATATTGACATGAGCTCCAGTATAACGTGTAGTTGGTGAATATTTGTGTTTGGTAACTAGTTAATATGTTAAATGGGAATCTCTGAACCTATTTTAATCAACAATGCGGAGGTCTTGAATAAGTCAACTTTGAAAAGTCACACAAACAGATTTACTTTTGCCTAAAAGGGTCTACATTGTGTGTCTAAAAGGGTCTATGTTGTTGAACACTATAGATTATGTATAAAACTAAAAGCTTGTTTGCTGACCTCAAAGTCGCAGTAGTCGGTTTGTTCCAAGGCGGAGAGCACGAGCTCAAAGAGGTCAGAGTGGCTTCCATCTTTGGACGTCTGGAAGAGCTCGGGTCTGATGTCACGGACTGTGTACGTGTTTTCAGTTGGGATAAATCCACGTGCGAATGGATTGTCAACAACCTGTGAAATACAGAAAGTAGTTCCTGTCAAAACCTGCCTCACTTCTTCTTCACAAATAATCAGCGTGATATATAACAGTATAAGCTGTAGGTTTATAGGTGAACATAGGTTAACATTACAGGTGACCCACCTCATCTCTCCAGGCATCATAGAAGTCCTCCTTGGTGAAGATCTCTGGCAGGGCGGTGATTGGTTTGGTCCAGTCCCAGTATGGAATGGCAACGGCACTACCGTGCCTCTGGAGGGCACGCTCAACCTAAGTTTAAAGGAAAGAATGCCAATCTATTACATTCATAGATCGGTGCACACAATGAAAAAGAATATTGAAGAAAATTATGTAAACAATTAATTTCAGAAATATATTTATATATTCCTAGTTTCTAAATAAACATAAAATAATTTTTGAGTAGCTTAAATCTACTATACATTAAAGAAGCCAATATAACACGGTATGGCACAAAGCTTTAAATCAAATGAAAAAAAAAACTTGATTCTTTCATTGTATTTTTAATTATTAATTTTTTATTTTATTGATTTTTTTGCCATATTTGAGTGAAGAAGGAAATATATTTGTGATATATAACAACACTGGTTCATGGTGTGAAAGTTTACCTGTACGGTGAACAACCTGTGCCAGTGGGGAAAGGTGGGCATGCCGTGAATGCAGCAGGCGACCTTGGCACCACTTTCATTCTCACACATGCTGGGGGCACCGTGGAATGAGGCGAGACTGGCCCAGCCATCGGCACTCTCGTCCAGCTGAAGGTCACGTAGGGCGGATTTCAGTCCCTGAAGGTCACGTTCGGTGAGTGTCGATAGATCGTGACGCACAAAGTTGGGGGTGACCTTTTCAAGGTCGTAATCACCTGAAAAGAAGTTATCGTTTCCTTTCTAAAATTAGAACGTTCAAGAGTTCATGCCATACATTTGGTATGTTTCACTGTAAGACTATGGCTTTTGTTGACCGCGTTACTGTTGAGTTTATTTATTTTTGTCAATGGCAATCACTTCTTTTAAAAATCTTAAATGAATTCTTTTGTATGTAAATGTGCCACAGATTTGTATCCATGCAGGATATTTCTTAAAAGCCTAATGAAATTTTATCTTAACAAACATTTTTTTGAATGGATTGAACATTTTAAACATTTTTTGTAATCCTTCACAATTTTATCAAACAGTAAATACAGTCTTTTAAGAAGGCGCACAATCTGCACCTGGACATACGTTTAAAGGGTTCCAAAATTACACTGGGGGTACCAATCAAATCACTGCTCAATTCGGTGCCGTCTGGGGCACGGATTTTAATCTGGAAGGTGTACTCGTCGTCAAATCTCAGCTTATGTTCGTTCAGCTGCGCAGCAAGAAAAACACAGATATATCATGAAAGGCAAGAAAAAAACAGATATATCATGAACGTAATTTATATTTCCAGCAGCTTGTTGGTAGAAAATTAGGAAATCGTTCAACAAGGTAAGTAGAAGATAATACATTTTCAAAAAAATATTTTGAATATTAAGGCACGGTCGTGTAAACACCATACAGATGAACACGTAGTTGTAACTTTAAAAATTGATGACAGTTTGTTTCTGTTGCGTCATATCATTTGTGAAAAATAAGCGATTTTATTATGTCTTGAGAAAAAATGTTTAAATCCAATATTATGAGTCACATTGGATCTAATGTTCACAATTATTTTTTTATTTAGCATTTTTAGGTTAAAATAATATCCCTTGTTAACTCATATTTATACAATTAGCTGATGCTTTTAAGCATTAGGAACACTACCTAATGGATTACATTGTATAACATTTTATAAAAATCCTCCATCATTTGCATGTCAAATTTTAACTCCCTAAACCTGTATTTGATTCATTGTTGACACATGAAACCGCTGGTGTGAATTTTAGCGCTGGTGTGAATTTTAGATTGTTATTACAATTTTTAGTGGTTGAAAGGGGGCCGTTCTCGAACAATTAATATTTAAACCTACTACATGCCTGATCAGTAATCTCATTTTTAAACCAAGTACATACCTGATCATTGATCGCATATTTAAACGAGGTACATGTCTGATCAGTGATCTATTTAAATCAACTACATACCTGATCAGTGATCTCATATTTAAAGAGTCTGTCAAATTGCCATGGCATCTCAGCAGATCCACCGAGGACGGTGAAGTAGCCACCTGGGAAACAGTTGCCATTGGCGCAGATGTCAAAGTCAACCAAAGCTGATTTCTTGAATCCCTTGAGCAGGAAACCTGGAGATATTTTTTAAAGTAAAATGTACTTGACATAAATTTAATTTAAAAACATTGTGTAATTGATAAACAATGAGATAAATATTTCTCTTCTCAGTTGCCATCTTTTGCCTTTTTTTTATAAGTTAATATTGATACTCAATAATGAACGAAGAAGTTTTAACATTTTCTGCAGTTCAACGAAATCATATAGCCAGAGTTGATTGTGACTGTGATTGCGATTTTGCTACCGGTATGTCTGACTGTTGATGCACTGTTATTGTGCTATGTCTTACGGTTGATGCACTGTGATTGTGCTATGTCTTACGGTTGATGCACTGTGATTGTGTTACGTCTGACTGTATTAATTTAACTTGATCACATCTAAATTCCATTAGACTTTAATTTTAGGGTAAATAAACTGATAGTTTTGATTTAAGTTCTAAACTGCTGGTAAAAATGAAACTTCACGGAAGAAAGTCAATTATATGGTCAGAAATTGTTATCTAAGCCTAAATAATTAGTTGTGTCCTTTTCTATGCCCTTTAAGTACATTATTCCCTATGACTCTATACATTCATTCTTTCAAACATTACGCCCCGCTCTATGCTTTGGTTTACACTACTACTTGTATACTCCTGTACTCACCAGCAAAAACAATCACACTCTTATACTCACCAGCAAAGACTCTATCATACTCATATACTCACCATCAACCCTTAAAAAACAGTATCATGCTCCTGTACCCCCCATCAAAGACTCTGTCATACTCACATACTCACCAGCAAAGAATCTATCATGCTCATTGACTCACCAGAAAAGACTATGTCATACTCATGCAGTCACCAGCAAAGACTCTATCATACTCATTTACTCATCAGCAAAGACTATGTCCTACTCATGTACTCTCCAGCAAAGACTACGTTATACTCATTTACTCACTAGCAAAGACTCTATCATACTCATTTACTCATCAGCAAAGACTATGTCCTACTCATGTACTCTCCAGCAAAGACTTCGTTATACTCATTTACTCACTAGCAAAGACTCTATCATACTCATTTACTCACCAGCAAAGACTATGTCCTACTCATGTACTCACCAGCAAAGACTCTATCATGCTCATGTCTCTCCTTAATGAAGGCGTCCAGCTGGGGAATGCTGAGTCCAACAAACTCCAGGTTGTCGTAGCGGTAATGGAAGTGGTCGGCGTAGTTGAAGGTGTCCTCGGGGCGAGAGTGCTCTTTGGTCAGAGGGTTAAGATTGTAGGGGGGTCCAAAACTGAATGGCTTCAATGGATCCTAAATAAAATAATGTGATGATTTGTGTAAACTGACAATTTTTGTTTTTACAGAAAAGTTGGTTTTGAACACACAAAATATATGGATAATTATTGGCACATTTTCTCCATACACTTTTAAAGTAAAATTTATATATTCTTGTTAGAGCCCTCGATCTACCTTCATCTGCTCCAAAGCACAGTTGGCCTCGTTGGGGTCATAACCTCTGTATTTCTGAAGAGCTTGCCAGACTGCCCAGAGTCTGTCAGTGTTGGAGTGGTGGACGAAGAAGGCAGGGTCGTATGAGGCGTAGTGGAGGTGTCCAAGGGAGTGCTCTTTGGAGCCGCCGACCCAGGAGTGGATGGCGTTGTGGGTGATCTCAAACTGGATCTCAAAGTTGCAGTAGTCTTCCTGCTCCAGGGCCAGCAGAGCCTGGTTGAACAGCCACGTATCCCATCCGTGTGGACCACGCTTAAACAGTCTGTCAGACTGTGGAGGATGCATTTATTTCATGGATATACATAGATAAATATGAGTACTTGCAACAAGACTATCTAAGCCTTCATTGCATAATGCGATAACTATTTTTTTGATATAAATCATTCTTTGACCCACAGGTACCTATTACAATAAATGTGGGAAACATTGTTTTTGGGTACATACTTTGTAAGACTGAGTTTTTAATTCTTAATAAATTCTTAAAAATATTGCTCTAAACATAAAATATGTTATTCAAATATTTGTAATTTTTGTTGAAAATCCATATGTAATTTGTCAGGAAATTAAAAAAATCGTAGTTAAATTTGAAATACAACGGTGCTAAAGTGATAATTTCTTATTAAAGTTAACATGACATATTGGAAAGAAATATTTAAAACTTTGAGTAAAACAAAACGAAAGATAAGCATCGATTTTTCTTTCTTCACATCCTTCCTTAAACTGCTAACAAGTTCTGAGCTGTAAAATAATAACATGTATTTAAGTATATTTATATAAATAAATTTTTTAAAAATTTTTTCTTTTAATGCATACAGATTCATTGATAATTAAAAAATTAATTACTTTTCTTATAAAAAGAAATTATTTATGAAGGACTCACAACGACTTCTCTCTCAGTCTCTGAGTTCTCGAACTCAATCCTGGCTTTCTTCCATGGATTGGCTTTCTGATCACCGGTGACGGGATCCACGAAGTTCTCGTCATCGATGAAGTGGGGCAGAGAGTCGCTGACGCGTGACCAGTCCCAGTAGGGAATACCGACCAGGGCGCCGTGACGCTTGAGGGCGTCCTCGACCTGGACTGTGTAGAGACGATGCCATTGTGGGAAGGTGGCCATGCCGTGCAGACAGCAAGCGTACCTTTGGAAGGAAAGAAACATTACGGTAACTCTTTTTTCTATAAAGTTTCAGATAATATATTTTGGTATGGTATTATTTGTTATGAGGATTTTTTAAAATATAGCATTATCATGAGGTCATAAGGCTTTAAATATAGCATTATCACGAGACTTTCAATATAGCATTATCATGAGGCTTTAAATATAGCATTGTCACGAGGCTTTAAATATAGCATTATCACGAGGCTTTAATATATAGCATTGTCATGAGGCTTTCAATATAGCATTATCATGAGGCTTTCAATATAGAATTATCAGAATGCTTTAAATATAGCATTATCATGAGGCTTTAAATTTAGCATTATCACAAGGCTTTAAATATAGATTAAACGAACTTTTAAGCAAGCTTGAAATAACTTATCACATCAAGGTGATTTTGTTTTTCTTTAATTGAAGGGCTGTTTTTCTAGTTTTCTATTGTCTGCTGAAGAAGACATTTTGCCAAACATTCTTTTCTTTTTTTTTCTCTTTTTTTCCAAATCCAAAACGTATCATGTTGCACTATTTATTTACTTCAGACTGCTTGAACTAAGTCCCAATTATATTATCCTTAATATATTTTATCACGTCTTACTGTTTTTTATTGCTAATTTAGCTTCCAATGGACATAGAAAGTCACATACAATTATTTGATTTGATCAAATGTAGAGACTTCCATTTGTCAAGAAAAGAGGTTCCAATTAAATCAAATCCCAAAATGCTTTAAAAAATTACAAACCTGTTTTCGGCACTTGGGCTCGGGCAAAGTGGAGGGATAGCGTGGAAAGAGGCAATGGATTGCCAGCCGTCGGCTGAGCTGTCAGCCTGGAGGGCTTCCATGGCGCTGTACAGGGACTGGACTTCACGTGGACTCAGAGAGTTGATCTCCTTCCTCACCAGGTAGTTGGTTACCTCACCAGAAGACTTCTGTCTTTCGCCTTGTAAAAAAAAAGGAATGAAATGTAACTGAAAGATAGATTCTGGGATGTGAATTTGAATTGTGCGATGCCTACTCTTTAATAATAGGAAATTTAGTTATAGAGGGATTTTTATATAACTCATTTAGATAAGTCTTTTCTCCCCCTCAATATAAAGACCAAGAGTGCTTACAGAAAAGCAGTTTTCACAAAACCATCTTAAAAGATAAATCTTTTCAACAAATCATTTTTAGATTTTTTTTCTGTTTTTTTTAAAATATATTATAAAATTGCATTCTCATTGTAAATTTATGTGACAATAGCATAATCCCCAAAAAAAACATTTACACCTGTGGTTGTCATTTTGTATTTTTTCTTTACGATTTTGTTAACACAAAAATAAAAAATGTCATCTCAACAGGTCCTCAGACTTACCTGTTCCAGGCTCAAATAAAATCGTGGGCTTGGGAAGGATGTCAGAGTCCAGAAGGCTTCCGTTGACGGCCTTGATGTCAACCCTGAGTTCAAAGTTGGCGGCATTGTCGAGCTTGAGGCCAAGGTCACGGACGGTCTTTGTGATGTCGTACTTGTACAGGCGATCAAACACGAAGGGCATTTCAAGTTCACCTCCAAGGATGGAGAAGGAGCCGGCCTGTTGGAGCACAATGTCAAATGATAAAATAATGTAAAATATAGAAGCAAAAAATACAAAACAACTCTCTAACAAAGATTAGTTAAATGACGTACTTTATGCAATATCCATATTTTCAAAAGCCAAAATGAGCAGATGGAATATTGCAAGCGTTTCTAATTCTTGGCAACTAAGCAAAAGAGAGGGGAGGATACAATGAGAAATGTATGATAATATTCTGGGCTATATTGAGCTTTGTTTTCCAAAATTTATTTATTAGGCTAAAAGTTTTTCCAATATTCTTTTAGCTACGAACAAAAAGAATCCTATTAATCACTTTCACGGCTACAATAAAAACATGTTAAAATTGTTTATTTTAAAAAAGCTATAATGGAAAAAATTATGAAATCAAAGATGTCTTCTTCCTTTAAATGTGGACCACAAAGTATTAATGGCGCTTTATATGCGAACATCTTGTACTCATGAGACTTGATGTTCGGATCACCTACCGGGTGGTTGCAGCTCTTCTTGCCCCTGGGTCCACTTGGGACGCACACGTAGATGTTGGCCACGGCAGACAGACCGATGTTGTGCAGGAGGAATCCAGCGAAGACACGGCCAGACTCTTTGCGTTTCTTGAGCAGAGCCTCCAACTGAGGGACGGTCATGTGGTTGAACTCCAGGGTATCGTACTCGTAGTGGAAATGGTTGCGGTAATCAAAAGTGTCAGCTGGGCGGCTATGAAAAAAAATTTTTAAATGACAAAATGTTTTTTTAGCCCCACATGCAATATTCTAGTTATCCATGTCTTGATAATACCATTTATTTAAAGAGACTTACTAAACAAATCTTTGTTAAAACGATATTTAATCAATTTACATCAGAGAATGCATACGAAAAAAATTATCTAACATAAATCCTTAAGGAGTTCATGACAAAAATAGAACCAACCCAATTTCACAGCCTTGGTGTTCATGAACTAAATGTGAGAATTTAACAAACTCAAATACACCATTGAATCATTATCCAAGAAAAACATTAGAAATCACTTATCAAAATCAATATTTATGTTTTAACTGTTCCATTTATAACTGACCAATACCAAGGAAGTGGGCAAATATATTCATAAGTGTCTTCATGTTCCATTTACCTGTATCTGTGGGTCAGGTCACCATGGTTGAGTTGATCATCGTTGAATGGCCTCAATGGTGTCCTCATCTGGTTAATGGCACAGTCGGCTTCGTTGTATTTGAGTCCTCGGTAACGTTGGAGCTCTTGCCAGATGGCCCAGATCCTGAAGCAAAGGTGGACAATTCATTTTTAATTTGGTGATCTTAAATATTTTTTTATGTTACATATTCGTTTCATGAACACTCTCAAATACTTTCATTACATTTCTTTTCTTACTATAAAAATTGATTTATTTAAAAGAGATCTTTGATTCCAAGACATTTCAAAGACATAGTAGATATTTATTCAATTAACATTGTTTGGAATTTTGTTGTTCAATAGAGTTTTGAATTTTTTTATTGTAATTTTATTGACTATTTTAAGTAAAAAGTTCCCAACAAACCTGTCAGTATTGGCATGGTGGAGGAAAAATACAGGGTCAAAAGCTGAGTAGTCCAGGGACGACAGAGAGTATTGGGCACGGCCTCCAAGCAGGGAGTGGAGGGCGTTGTGGATGATCTCAAACTGGATCTCAAAGTCACAGAAGTGGTCCTGTTCTAGAGCGTAGAGGACCTGCTCGTACAAATCGTCGTTGTTGAAGAGTTCAGGCTGGGGATCCCTGGTGACAGACAGTGTTGGAAATTATAGCGATCACATCATTCGTATCATAATCAGGAATCATTAACTTTGCCAATCGGCCATTTCATTTCTGTTTACCATTTATTATTTGCTTATTAGCACACCACTGAAAAGTTTTAACTTCATTATATCATTTGTCATCAGTAAATAAAAAAACACTTGATATTTAAAATATAAAAAAATACAAATGTAAACAAATTCAGCTAAAATATTACTGAACACTGTTAATGTGACAAAAGTGTTTATTTAAAAGAGGAAGGGTGATTACCTTGTGGTGACAGCTCCCTCACCAGCGATAGAACCACTGAAGAAAGGATTTGGCTCAAACCTCTGTTGACGTGAGTTGAAGTAAGTGGCCTGGTTGATGAGGTCTGGCAATTTGGTGAAAGCTGTGGTCCAGTCCCAGTAAGGTACAGCGACTGATGAACCACGACCAAGAAGGGCTTCCTCGACCTGGTGATGAGTAATGTCACATCATTAGCCAATATAGTTTTAACAGCTCTCTAGCAAGGGATGGAATGTTCGTTACGTGTTGACTAGAGTTTTATTTACTAATTAAAACAAGTAACGATTTAATGACCTACATATCAACGCCAAAAAATGTACCTGTTCCACGTAGAGTCTGTGCCAGGCAGGGAAGGTTGGCATGCCGTGGACACAGCAGGCAACAGTACGGCCGGCGCTGTCCTTGCATTTACCGGGCTTGCCGTGGAAAGAGGCGATCTTCTCGTAGGTTCCGTCCTCTTTGATGGACAGGAATGCTGCGCGGAGACTTTCAATCTCACCCTGGGACAGTGAGTCCAGGTTGCGACGGATTTGGGATGCAGCTGTGGAAACGGCACGGAATTCTTTGCCGTACAGATTGCCTGGAACATAGTGAGGAAATAAAGTTTAGCTCCGAGATCTAGAAACATCCATCAGGGAACCCATGAAATCATTGAAATCAAGTAGACTTTATGTAAATTATAAAAACTTTTGAGAACAAATGAAAATACAAGAATTAGAAACTAGGTAAAAAACTTAAGTGATCGCCATTTTTGTTGCCAGAAGTTGGATTGTCCAAAACCAAGTTTACAAGAAGTATATTTATCCTGTCTGCTGTGGAAGGCTCTTTGCCGAAACGTTCTTATCTTATTGTCCTGTCTTTGGATTCAAGCTTCCACACACTTTGTTCTACTATTTTCTTCACCCATCTTGAATGCATTTCTTCATTTATTATTCTTTGATAATGTAATTATTTTTAATGTTTTGAGTGGTTTTGGTTTCTTGTGGTGTACTCACTTGTTCCCAGTTCAAAGAGCACGGTCGGTGTGGAGAAGGTGTCAGTGCTGTAGATGGAGCCGTCCAAGTCGAGCACCTGGTATTTGATGTAGTAGCGGTCGTTGTAGCGGAGGCCGAAATCTTCCAGTTGTTGGGTGACCTCGTATTTGTACAGGCGATCGTAGGACCACTCCATCTCGTTCTCATCACCCAGGATGTAGAACTCTCCAGCTTCTTTGAACTCAGTATCGTTCCTGGTTTGTAAGAAAATCAAATTTAATTTAAGATACGTTTACAAGAGATTGAAATTAATTTTTAGATTCCGTGGATTAGAGAAAAAATTATAATATTTTATTTCAGACTGATGGAATGGACCTTGAAATTATTATGATTTCTGAAACATGAATCAGCTTTCTGTTTTGCGTGTTAACCTAAAAAGATAGTTTCTTTCGATAAATGCTCAAGTTTTTATTTTCTTTAAAATCAAAAATATATATTTAATAAATAACTTACTTCCTGTCAGATATTCAAGTTTCCGTCAAAACATTTTTTTTTAAACTGAAGGCATTTAATCAACTTGCTTTTCAAACAATTCAATATTATCATTGCATTATTTTGGATCTTGAGAATAGAAATAATCTTAATCATGGTGCGTACTTGTGTATCTGGAATTTGATGAGGGCTGATCTCTTAATACCGTGAAGCATGAACCCAACGAAGACGCGGTCATCTCCCTTGTTCTTCTCCAGCTCCTTGGCCAGCTGTGGGATGCTGAGTCCATTGAACTCCAAGTTATCGTACTCGTAGTGGAAGTTATTGCGGTAGTCGAATACCTAAAAAGGCATTTACAGGTTAGAACGATGAAACTATTCACTGTAAAAGTTTATGCATGCCTTTATATAAATCTCTTTAATGATGGTCACACCGAGAATAATACATACTGTTGAGTACTTCAATAATTGGTGTGTTGCAATCCTAACGTCAAACTCACCTGGAAGGGCAGTGAGTGCTCACGGGTATTGGCATCGGGGTTAACGGAAGAGGTTAAGCTGAATGGTGACAAGGGTTTACGCAGTTGTCCAATGGCACAGTTGGCAGTGTTGTAAGGCTTGTTGCGGTACTTCTGAAGAGCCTGTTGTTGTTTTTATTGTTTTGGAAGAGGAGAAACAAATTAAAATTATCCATACTAAATAATCTTTGAAATATCAACAGAAAAAATGTGTAATTATCAAATTTATTTTTTGTAAAGCATAACTTGTTTACACTCCATAAATATCCCATATTTTTAATAAAAGTTATTTTTCTTTGGTCTAAGACACAACTTTGAAGGCATGTTAAAATGTACTGCAACGTATAGAGTTCCCTTAAGAATACATCTGTCACGATTAGACCAGGTTGGCTGCTTAGTTAAATGAAAACATTAATCTGCTGGTAAATTTTAATGATAAAATGTGCAGAGATCCGTGTAGTTTGTGCTGCACCTGGCATTAGATAATTATGATTTCTTTTACCAGCAGGTTATATTTAGTAACTAAGGGATATCATTCTGTTTGACTGTTTTAGATCATGTTCTGTTCATTCAAGAGTTATCGCTTCTTAAAACATGAGATAGAAAGCTCAGCCTATTAACGCTTTTAGAACAAAATAAATGATATAGTATCCCGAAAAGCCAAGTTAAAATGAAAATGACCGTTGTTTCAAGTGCACTTACCTGCCAGATGGCCCAGAGTCTGTCGGTGTTGGCGTGGTGCAGGTAAAACAAGGGATCGAAGGCGGTGTACAGGAGGGATGCCATGGAGAACTGCTCGTTGCCACCGACAAGGGCGTGGATAAAGTTGTGGGCAATCTCAAACTGAACCTCAAAGTCGCAGAAATTGTCTTGTTCCAGGGCGAGGAGAACCTGGCAAATAGGTTTTTAAAATTATTACACATTCATGCAGGATGACTAACGTTTATTTCATTATATTTTATTTTAAAGATAGTAAAACATAAATATGATTTTAAACTATTCCAATTAAGAACTTGTAATAATAATTATCAAATACTATACAATGGTGAGTGTGTTCAATTATTCCTTGTCCGACTTGATTTGTGTTTAAGTAGCCCTACTAAAGGTTTGAGTTTAAGAATCACTGTTATACATTACTAAAGTTTCAACATATCTCAGTTTATGTCTCATCTGAATGAGAAAATCATCTCTAAGTTAAAGGCCACGTTTCTAACAATACTTGAAACATCATGTAACATTCTTACCTGCTTGGCAATAGCTGTGTTTTGTCCAAACTTGGGCTGTTCGAAGAGGTCATCTCTGGGTGACCTGACAGTGTCTTGGTCAGCGTCAGTGATGTGAGCGCTAACGATGCAAAGAGATGGCATCTTTAAAGCAAACAGTTTTAAGCTTTTAGTACTGAAAAAAAGTCACTAAGTTAAAATCTTACAGAATAAATTAACACCTTTCACTATACGCCTTCATTCAAAATTGATTTTTCTATTCTTTCATAGCATTATTGAATTGTAATTACCTGTAGAATGGGTTCTTAATTTCATTGTTGCTGCTAGGGTCCCGGTATTTCTCAGAGGTGACGAGGTCTGGGAGAGACTTTACTGGCTGGGTCCAGTCCCAGTAAGGAATAGCACCAACGTAGCCATGACGACGTAGGGCGTTTTCAGCCTGGACGGTCCAAAGTCTTTAGAGAAAAAAAAAAAAGTTTGACTGTTTAATAAGGTGGTTTAGCGTGAGACATGAAGGTTCTATATTTGAGAGTCGTGTATAAATTTTTAGTTTTTCAAATCTAGAAAGTATTGTTTTTACCTGGAAGTTTTTTTTGTTTTCTTTAAAATCTAGAATGTAAGAAATATTTTAATACAAGAAGTACTTTTGTGTTGCACGATTATGACGCAAACAAAGATGAATGGCCCAAAAACAATATTGCCAGGTAAATGTGTCTTACCTGTGCCAGTGCGGAAAAGTGGGCATGCCGTGAAGGCAGCAGGATTTCTTTACCTCAGCATCGGGGGTGGGGCACCAGTTGGGTGTGCCGTGGAAGCGTCCAAGATCCTGGTGGGAATAAGGTCGACGTAAATTTTGAAAAAGGATTCTCTTATTACCACGGATAGTTTCCTTTGTTTTGCGTATTGTATTGTAAATACTGGGGGGGGGGGGGGTGGTCTCTTTTTTTTCCAATCATAAATTTCATTATTTCAACCATTCTATTTTGCACGCATGAAAACAATGAAGACAGGCTTTAACTTTAAATTACAAACACGAAATGAGACATTTACCTGGTAACCTCCAGCTGACTGGTCATTTTGAAGATTGGCCAAAGCTTGGCGGAGATCGACTACTTCAGCCTCGGTCAAGGTTGCAACATTTTTACGGATTTTGATGGTGTCAGCAGAGACGTCCTTGGGCTCTGTTCATGAAATCAGGGTGAGAAATTAGAATGTTCATGAAATCAGGGTGAGAAATTAGAATGTTCATGAAATTAGGATCAGCCCTATGAATGCCCATGAAATCAGGATCAGCCATATGAATGCCCATGAAATCAGGATCAGCCATATGAATGCCCATGAAATCAGGATCAGCCATATGAATGCCCATGAAATCAGGATCAGCCATATGAATGCCCATGAAATCAGGATCAGCCCTATGAATGCCCATGAAATCAGGATCAGCCATATGAATGCCCATGAAATCAGGATCAGCCATATGAATGCCCATGGAATCAAGGTGAGATGTTTATATTTCTTTCTTAATATTAAAATTCTCGTAGAAAAAGATATACTGAAATTAATTAAAATGTCTTATTTATTTTATGCCTGTAATACAATAAGATTTTTTTCATAGCTCTGATATTCAGAGTTTTGTTTTTGCAATTATTCATTTGCATAAATGAATAAATCGCCATAAAAAGGAAAACAAATTAATGTAAATATTTTAAAATTTCCTTGGCCGATTTTTTATTGTTTACTATGAGGTCTTTACAAACTTTATCTTGAATGAATTAAAGAGTTATATCAATAGAACTCTTCTCATTGTAAGTGGGTTGTACATTTTTTTGTTCGACTCTTTTAATTTCATTTCTGTTTGTGGCTGGATAACGTGGACAGACAATAATTAAATTCTTAGGACTTGGTTGCAATAAAACCAACCTTCTTTGGCCTTGAAGATGATCTGCGGCTTGGGGAATGGGTTGATGGGAATATCGTGTCCCTCGAAATCTGTGAGCTTCAGGGTGACGGTGTATGGCTGGGCCCAGTGAAGGTTCAGCTCCTCAAGGGTGTCGGTAATCTCGTGCCTTGTGGAAACACGACAAGAAATCATTGCTTAATCTTCCTGCTTTAATGATTGCTTAAAATATTTTAAAATTTATGTTTGTATTTCTAGTTTAGAAACTACTTCTGACTAATGCTTTGAGAATATCACTGAAACATGTAACTGAAACAAGTAAAACTCCTCCATTTAGTAATGGCCATAAAATCGAAACTACGAAAATTTTAAGGATCGTGTTTCACAGGATTGTGTTTCACAGGATTGTGTTTAAGTTAGCAGGATTGTAATTCATTGAAAAATAAAATGTTATATATTGTTTTAAAAAAAATTTTTTTAATAAATTATAAAATGTGAAGTGAATTCTCCAAAATCAGGTAACTTATTACCTGTAGAGACGGTCAAATCGCCACTCCATCTCAGAGGGTCCACCCAACAAAGCGAAACGTCCGGCTTCAACGTCATTGACGTAAAGTGTGGCCAAAGCTGTAAAGGAAAAAAAAAGAAGTTTTTTTAAATAATTCCAAGAGTTTTAAAATACAGGATCTAAAATGTGTCAAGTGTTATTAAAGGAAGCAATTCAACGAGACAGCATTTTTGAATACACAATGGTACACGAAAGGGTACGAATGCGATATAAATAGAGATATAGAAAAACATACAAACAAATGCCCATACAACTTATACATACGGGTATATTAAAAGATACAAACTGCCATTGGCTTAACTCACCGGATCTCTTGATGCCCCAGAGAAGGACGCCAGCGAAAACGCGGTTCTTGGTCTTACGCTCGTTGTTGATGTAATCGTTGAGCTGCTTGATGGTCAGGCCGCCGAACTCGAGGGAGTCGTAGGCGTAGTTGAGCTCGGTCTCGTAGTCGTAGACGTTCCTGGGCACGGCGTGTGTGAAGGTCTTCTGGTCGTTGTTGTAAGGGGAGGAGAAGGCAAAGGGCTTAAGCGGCTCGTAGGTGTAGGACTGGGCACAATGAGCCTTGTAAGGCTTGCCTCTGTTGGGGTAGGTCAAAGGTCAAGGTTAATTTCAATGCAACTGTTATATGTATAGGTCACTGGGTTTACGTCTTTTAAGGTGAACTCCGGTCATTTACTTTTATATTATGCTTTTCTTAGCTAAAATCTGTTATTTTTATGTGTGCAATGGTAAAGTGAATATCTCAATATGACACTATTTTAACATTTTCTTTTACTTATTTTCCTGTTCTTTAAAGTTAAAAAATATTTTATAATAAATTATTAAGTTGATAGGTTTCTGGTTTATGTTTATGTTATAAGACATTGCCATTGGAAGAGGCAAAAATCTTTGCCCTCTTCGGCGGCACTAAGCTTAGCTCATCCACTGGTTTTTGGTAAATAATACAGATATCAATTGAAAGATATTAATCTACACAAAATATTTTTTTAGGTAAGTCCCTGCCAGAGCTTGCAACAGAAAAACAAAAAGGAATAACAAGTCGAGTGTTCAATTCTTCTTGGACGGAAAAATAGCCGGCACATACAAGTTGGTAACACTTGCCTTAGCAGTCCTTGCCAGGCAGACCATATTACTACCTGAGTTCCTGAAGAGCTGTCCAGATGGCCCAGATCCTGTCGACGTTGCTGTGGTGAAGGTAGAAGATTGGATCAAAAGCACTGTAGGACAAGGTGGCCAAGCTGTACTGCTCTTTGCCTCCAACGAGTGCGTGGATCAAATTGTGGGCGACCTCAAACTGAACCTATGGGACGGAAGAAAATATAGACGAGTAATTAATATACAGTTTTATTATTTTTAAAACATTTTTTTTTTATGATGCTTCTTTAAAAAAATTAACTTAAATAAATAATTGGAAGAAAAAACAAGTTAGGACTATGCATTCTTTTTTTAATGACATTTTTTATACAAGTTACTTAATTTTAATTCATTTTACTTGAAATTTACATTTCCATATTTATTTATATACACCTTTGATTTCTCTATAACATTACATATACGGCTTTCAATTCTCTATAACATTACATATATGCCTTTGCATTCCCTATAACATTAAATATACGCCTTTGAATTCTCTCTTACATTACAGATTTTAAATCATTTTAGACGGCTTATTAATTAATCCTTTGCTAACCTCAAAGTCGCAAAAGTTGTCTTGTTCAAGGGCGAGAAGGAAGGCGTCAAACAGCTCGGTGTGGTCTCCCCATTTTGGACTGTCGCTCAGTGAGCTAGAGACGTCACGGGTTGTCTTGGTGGAGTCACCGAGGAAAGCGATTGGTGCGTCATGGAAAGGATTTCTCTTTACTTCATTACTGTAAACAAAAATGTTTAGTTATGTATATTTACATGATAACTGTCTGAAACTGTTGCTTGTTTTGTTTGCAATATACAATTAATGTCTGAAAGTCTGAGATTAAGAAAATACGTATATTATGTCACATTTGTAGCTGTGGGAAACATTGGCTGATTTCCCTATTCATACCGTTTCACTTTAACCTGTGATTAAACAATCAATGAATTTTTAACTTCAATCTTAACACAAGTTCACATGTATTTTTAAGACAACCCAGTATAAAAATAAGAAAATGTAAAACATGGTCTAGAGGAAAACTTGATGACAGGCGAAACAAAACAGGTTTCCTTCGCCTGTTTTCAGTGTTTTACCATAGTGTAATTTTTATTTCTTATTGCTTCAACCTGAACAAGGTCTACACTAACATTACAATAAATAACATAGCCACTAGAGACTATTTATTGTAAAACTGACATTTTAATTCAGTTACAAATTAATGTAGTACTCACGTGGTGGGATCGGTGTAGGTCTCATCTGCGGCCAGTTTAGGGACAGACGTCCTGGGCTTGGTCCAGTCCCAGTATGGAACACCGATGTTAGAGCCACGACGACGTAGGGCATCTTCAACCTGACCACAGTGAATGTATTGAAGTACTATGATGAGCTTAGCGCAATTTGTGACCAGCGTTGGTGTGTTAAAGATCAAATCAATTTTAACATTTAAACTCATATTTTTTCCTTCTAATTCTATGGAAAAAAAAAACATTTTTTTTTTCACTTCTAAAAAAAAAGTTTTTAAAAATTCAAAGAGTTATCCTAATGAGAGACTTCTGATTTTATGTACATTATACCTTATGTCTTGTTGCCATGCCAACGTTGTTTCTTACCTGCACAACCAAGAGTCTGTGCCAGTGGGGGAAGGTGGGCATACCGTGGATACAGCAGGCCTTCCTGTTCTTGGAATTGGGGTTGGGGCATTTGCCAGGGTCACCGTGGAACTCAGCGATAGCCTGGTAGCCATCAACACTCTTGTCATTCTGCACAAACGAATTTTATGTTTGAATGAAGATCACGTGAACTCGTTTATATAAAGATAACACGTTTTTGCTTAGGTGAAGGTCACATGAAATTGTTTATATGAAGATCCCATGAACTTGTTTAGATAAAGATCACGTGGATTCGTTCAGATAAAGATCAAGTGGATTCAAGTGCAGATTTTTTTTTTGTAAGCCTTGCTCATTTGTTTAAAAATCTACTGGTTAGAATTTTCTAAAAATAAGAATTGCGTGTTAACGTAAAAAGAATATTGACCTTGTAAATAAATAAAAGCACGCACCTGGAATTTCTGGAGAGCTTCTCTGAGCTCGTAAATCTCCTCATTGGTCAAGCGGTCAATGTCTTTACGTACAGAGATACCCTCATGGTATTCGTGTTCATGGTTGACCTCATTGTGAGCAATGGGAGCTAAACACAGGCGTTTGATGTGGTTTAGTCAAATTTAAGTTACCAGTTAAACATACATACAAAACAACTATGGGAAAATAATAGAATCTTGCTTTAAAATAATGACTTAATAATTTGTTGAGAGTTGCTATTTTGAAATAAACCAATATTAAATAGCTTAAATAGGAAAAACAGTATAAATTAGAATGAACCAGTATAGATCAGAATAAATCAGTTTTAATTTACATGTTATTACATTACTTGACATGCAGTAATTTACGTTTTTAAGTTTTGGATTTTTGTGAACTTTTTCATTTGGTTTGTTGTTATTCGTTAAGAATTATTTCCCTTTGTTTCTGTTTATAGATGAGAGACTTCAATGCATTCTTATCTAAATCATCACAACAATATAATCTGCAATGAGACTCAGTACTATTTTTAAGTTCATTTATTAACTAATGTAACTGAGATTAAAGGCAATCAGACTCACTATCAACGGTTCCCTTGGCTGGTCTGTAGGAGACGAATGGGTGAGGGAGGAGGCTTGAGGGCAGCTGGGTGCCGTTGACGCTGAAGAGCTCAGCCTCGATGCGGTAGTTGCCATCCAGGGCGAGACCCAGTTTCTCGACGGTCTTGGTGACTTCGAAGTAGTAGGGTCTGGAGAAAGCCCAGGGCATCTCGAGGGGTCCACCGAGAACGAAGAAATCCCCAGCGAACTCGCAGTAGGTACCAGTAACTTCATCTTCAGATGGAACGCAAACCTGAACAATGATTTAATGTTAAATGAATCTTTTGGGATCTGGCAGCAAAATGATATTTAAAATAATACGAATAAATCATTCTAATTTATACTTTTGGACATTCACAAAATATACTTTATTTGATAACTATGTTTAATACTTCTAAATGATATTTCAATGAATTTATCTGACAATAAAGATGGACAATAGTGTATGTTTTAAACATTTAAAATCTAAGACCTTAACGAACCTGAACGCGGACGTTGGCAGAAGTGGAAATGCCAGATAGACGGAAAACAGCGTATGAGGCAGCATGTGACCATTTCTCTTTCAGCAATCGCTTGATGCCGTTCAAGTCATAGCCGTTCAGGGTAAGGTTGTCGTATCTGAAAAAAAAGAAAGAAAACCGTTTAATTTCTTGTTCATTTCAGTTTCATTTTGGATTCCATGAACATTTTGTTCTATAGCCGTATTTTATTTTAAAAACTGTTCATACTACTTTACAATTCTTCTCTATTTACAATGAGTCTGTTGTAAGACTTTTTTTTTAATGTTAAGGGGATTTTTTTTTTTTAATGTTCCAAACAATTGTCATAAGCAATGAGGATTTATCTTGAGAATGAATATAAATTAAAAGATGTGCCTACTTGTATCCATAGATTGAACCATCTACTGCCTCCCTGGGAAGATTGAACTGTTTGGTAACGGCGAAGGGGTTGGTCTCCCAGCTGAATGGGGCTAACGGTTCATCGAAGTGTTTCAAGTCACACAGCTCACATTTTCCTGTGCATCCGGGACCTAATCATTACATGGATCAAATGTGTCCTTATTTAAAAACTATGGATCAAATTTATGCATGTGTAGAAATTATGGATCAAATGTGTGCATCTTTAGAAACTATGGATCAAATGTGTGCATGTTTAGAAACTATGGATCAAATATCTGCTTACTTAGAAAAATTAGTTAAATCTCAAAAGAAATATAAAGATAAATATTTTTTTAGTAGAATATCCATTTAGTTTAGGAATAAATATTTTTTATTTTTGATCTTGCATTTCTATCTGTTGAAAAAAATTATATAAGCTAAGCTTATCATTCATCAAAATGTAAAATAATTTAAGTGAATGAAATCAAAATGAAAAAAACCAAACTCTTTAATTTCGCTGCCATCAATTTTGCCTGATATTGTGTGGAAGGGTAATGCTAAGTTTAGTAGATCTATTGACATGAGGTTACTTCTTACCAGGTGTGTAGCCTTTTTCCTTCTGCAGGGCCTCGTAGATGGAGTAGATCTTGTCGACGTTGGAGTGGTGAAGGAAGAAGATGGGGTCGTATGAGGTGTACTCGAGGTGAGACATGGAGTATTTGTTACGTCCACCGACCAGGTAATGGATGGTGTTGTGGGCAATCTCAAACTGGACCTCAAACTGGCAGTAGTTTGGGTACATAAGAGCGTTCAACACTTGCTCGAAAAGGTCTGTGTTCTGACCGGGTTCGACCTGGGAAAGTAATAACAAAACAAAAGCATTACTATCGTGAAATTAAATCTTTCATCGAAAAAAAATAAGAGATTACTTTCATAAAATTGACACCCAGCCTACATGAATAAACATCTTTATTTACACGAATAAACATCAAAATTGTCATTTAAAAGTACTAGACTACTTATTGAGATGACAAAATTTATAGCATACAATAAATATTGTATTTAAAATAACTTGCACACAAGGAATATTATTGTGTTACTATAAAATTGTGGTTGGTTACTATTCAAGCACAGAATTTAACAAGATTAAATCAAAGACTCATTTAGTGGATAATTCCTTTCTGCATCAAATTATTTCTATTGTACTATGCGTAATGTAAAAAGGTTTAATAGTAGGAACCTTCTGGAAAAGTCTGTCATCGAGAGCTCTGGCGGTGTGTCTGATCACCGTCTTGGAGTTCTCAACGACCTCAATGTCTCCCTGGTACCAGACGTTCTTCTTGGCCTTGGTGCCGTCGCTCTCAATGAAGACCTGCTGGCTGACCAGGGCGGGCAGTTTGGTCAAAGGGCGAGTCCAGTCCCAGTATGGAATACCAATGCTGAGACCTGAAAGCAGACGTGGACGTTATAGTCATGTTTGAAAGTTTTTTTTTAGTTTATGTCTAAAAATCTGTCTATCCATTGCAGTTGTATTTTGAGCTGATAAGTGGAATATGAAGTTAAGTTGTTAATGTATGCTTCTTAAATTGTTTTCATTTTTTAATTTTTTTTTTAAGGGGGGGGGGGGGGGGGGTTTGTGTGTGTGTGTTTATTTTTTTGTTGGAGTGGGTTGTTGTGGGTTGATTTTAGAAGGAATTTGTTTTAAACAGCGCAAAGAATGTAATTAAATATACATCCAAAAATATTCCTGTCAAAGTAATATCTTCATCAGCTTACTTCAGTACAAACTATTCCTGTCAGAGTAATGTCTTATAAGCTTACTAACACTACAATTGGACAAATTCAAAAGGTTTATCTTTTTTTATGCAGCGCTTTAAAACCATGACAAAATTTCTCTCCTAATCTTAATTTTGTTGATGTTGTAGCGATACCATGAGATGCAATATTTTATTAAAGAGGATATTTTTCATGTAGAAATCAAATAATTTTTTTTCAGTCACTTGTATAAGATTTTCTGATTTTCTAACCATTCTCCTTATACAATATATGATCTAATAATTTTCTCTATATTATTCAAAATTATTTCCATTTGCAGACATGTAAACGAAAGTATTTGTGAATTTTATTTAGTCAAAAATTTTAGGAGCATAGCCATGCTAAACAATTCTAAAAATGTCTCTGAATATGTTTGTTATTATTTACCTTCATTTTTTTAAGGATCATACCAAATAATTAACAATCAAAAAATATTTAAATTTCTTTAAAACAAAATAGAGTTAAATTGTATTAGCCTTTATATTTCTTCAATAAAAATACCATCACAATTCAAGATTTGGAATTTTCCCACTGTACTTTCGTTAAAAAATAGTCATGAAATAATATGTTTTGATTTTCTTTCTTAAGGACGTTTATAACATATCAAATGTTGCGATCTTCCGTCTTACAACTAGCAGTAGTTGCAAATATTGAACGGGCAGTTTGATAAGCTCTTCTCTGAGGAAGTGCTCGATAGACATGAAAATGACCAATACAGCCTCCTCCCTCAGCCTTTCATATTATATACAAAGCAAAATTTAAAATAAAAAAATTAATTAGACAAAATTTTATCTTTGATTTTTTCTTTAATGTTCAGATTTCCTAATTTAAACTAAGACGTTTACCTTTCTCTTTGAGAGCCTGCTCCAACTGCACCACGTACAACCTGTGCCATTGTGGAAAGACCGGCATGCCGTGGACGCAGCAGGCGACTGGACGGTTGTTGGCGTCCTTGCACTGGGCCGGGTAGCCGTGGTATGCAGCTATGGCGGCATAACCTTTGGCGGATTTGTCGTCTGCTACATCGCGGAGTGTCTTCTGCAGGTTGATGATGTCCTCCTCACTGAGGTTGTCGACATTCTTCCTGACCAAGGCGGCATCTCCGAAACTCAGCTGGGGAGATGATTTTTTTTTTTATTTGGGTGGTCATTAAAATATATAAACACTGACTCCGACAACGGTTAATGATTTCAATTAATTCAACTTGTTTTTTTAAAGTTTTAAATTAATAAATGTTTTAAAATGTAATCTAGCTCTTTCTCTCCCGATTTAATTTCCTCGTTCTGACAGAATTATCCATTTTGCCTATTTGTTACGCACTACTAAACTATCTCTAAACCATCATAACTTTTTTGTTTTTCATCAGAAAATGTTAACTCTGGTTTGGAATTTAATGGGAATGCATGCTCTTTGCAAGCATTACAGACTTGGGTTTAAATTTTAATATATAAATGTAATTATAGAAAATAAAAATTTTCAATAAAAAACTGTTCACAAAATGCTCATTCCAAGTCACACAAAGAGAAATATATAATCCAATGTGTAACAAACATTTTTTTTGCTGAACTATATCCATATGTACATCACAGATAACAAAGATCAACTTAAAAAAAAGAAAAAAATTAAACACCAGAGCACATCATCCATTGTCACCGCCACACAAAATATTACTGAAAAAAACTAACTATTTCCACTGGAAACAATCTGTTGCTATTTGAAAATATTTGCATTGTATCCTTGTATATAGGGCCTACTAACATTTATTATGGTAAATGGAAAATTTACCATAAATTTCTCATACATTTTCATCTGGGTTTAGCTATGGTAAGGCTGAAAACAATCCATATGGATATGCGGACTTGACTCACATTGACTCGTATACTGGTACAGTTTGTCCTGTTCTATGTTTGCACACTATCGTTTTTGGAGCTAAAACTAATACTAATAGGCACATGACACATGTTTTGCTCAAATATGTCTTGTTGGAGTGTTGATTTTAATTCTGTAGGAAGCATATTGACCATTTCTGTATCTGCAATAAGTTTAGACGGTCGCTCCAAGATGTTAGGGTAAAAAGAGGGGCAGATGTAGCCTCAGACCATCATCTAATTATTGCCAAATTAAGGCTGAAACTGAAAAAGAACTGGACAAGCGAGGGAAGCAAGCGCCAACATTTTAACATCAACCTCTTGAAAGATGAGTCCAAGCTAAAGGAGTTTAAACTTACCATCTCCAATAAGTTCCAGATCTTACAGGAACTAGGCAATGAAGAAACAATTGACAAAAACTGGAAAGAAATCAAAGAGATATTCACGACTACCTGTGAAGAAGTGTTGGGCCCTAGGCAACAAACGCATAAAGAATGGATTTCGGCTGAAACCATGGAAAAAATCCAATATAGGAGAAAGAAGAAGGCAAATCTAAACAATAGCCGCACCAGAACCGAAAAGGCCAGAGCATCAACAGAATACTCAGAAGCAAATAAAGAAGTTAAACGTAGTATAAGGACAGATAAAAAGAACTACATAGAAGGATTAGCAAGTGAAGCAGAGGAGGCTGCGTACCATGGAAACACAAGAGAATTATTCAGTACAATCAAAAAGTTATCTGGAAAGTTCAACAATCCAGTGAGACCAGTTAAAACTAAAGATGGGAAATCAATACCTGATGAAGAGGGTCAGAAAAAAAGATGGATAGAACATTTTGAAGAACTCCTCAACCGGCCAGCACCACAACACACACTCAACATAGAGCCAGCGGAAAAAGATCTAGAAATAGAGTGCAGCACACCCACAAAGCAAGAAATATGCAGAGCAATTAAACAACTAAAGAAAGGCAAGGCGGCAGGTCCTGACAGAATACCGACAGAAGCCTTGACAGCAGATATTACGTCTAGCACTGAAATGCTACACACACTATTCAAGAAAATATGGGAGGAGGAACAGATACCGGCTGAATGGAAAGAAGGACACCTCGTTAAGCTCCCGAAGAAAGGAGACCTTAGTTCTTGTTCTAACTATAGGGGAATAACCCTGCTGTCGATCCCAAGCAAAGTATTCAACAGAATGCTGCTAAACAGAATGAGGGAGGCAATAGACATCAATCTTAGGGACCAACAAGCAGGGTTCAGAAAAGACAGATCCTGCACAGACCAGATTGCCACACTGAGAATTATTGTGGAACAATCTCTGGAGTGGAACTCGTCACTATACGTCAACTTCATTGACTATGAGAAGGCTTTTGACAGTGTCGACAGACAGACTCTGTGGAAGCTGCTTAGACACTACGGGGTACCACAAAAATTGACAGACATAATTAAGGCTTCTTACGAAGGACTATCGTGCAGAATTGTCCACGGCCAACAAACAACGGCGGCTTTTGAGGTACAGACCGGTGTCAGACAGGGGTGTCTGCTCTCGCCTTTCCTATTCCTGCTGACCATTGATTGGATAATGAAAATGTCTACAGAGCAGAAGAGAAATGGTATTCAGTGGACACTATGGAAACAACTTGATGACCTGGATTTTGCGGATGATCTGGCCCTAGTATCACACACACAGCAACAGATGCAAGAGAAAACCAATTATGTAGCACAGTACTCTGCTTGCATCGGCCTGAACATCCACAGAGGAAAAAGCAAAGTCCTTAAAATAAATACATCAAGCAACACACCTATAGCACTGGAAGGAACAAACCTTGAGGAGGTGGATAGCTTTACATACCTCGGCAGCATCATTGACATACAAGGAGGGACAGACGCCGACATAAGAGTGAGAGTTGGTAAGGCAAGAGCGGCATTTAACCAGCTAAAAAAGGTCTGGAGCTGCAGCAATTTGACCCTCCAGACCAAGGTCAAGGTATTCAACACCACAGTGAAACCTGTCTTGCTATATGGGGCAGAAACATGGCGAACAACAGCAGCTGGTTCAAAAAAGCTACAGACCTTTATCAACTCATGTCTCCGAACGATTTTACGAATCCGCTGGCCCACCGTCATCACCAACGAGGATCTCTGGCGGCGCACACAACAAGAACCAGTGGAAGAGTTAATCTGCCAGCGCAGATGGAGATGGATTGGCCACACCCTCAGAAAGCCCGCATCAAGTATCACAAGACAAGCCCTGACTTGGAACCCCCAGGGTAAGAGAAAAAGAGGTCGACCAAAAACAACTTGGAGAAGGGAACTGGTGGCAGACATCAAAAAGAGTGGGCACAACTGGGGACAGTTGGAGAGACTTGCCCAAGACCGGGATGCCTGGACAGCCTTTGTTTGTGGCCTATGCCCCAGACGGGACGACAGGCGATGATGATGATGAGGAAGCATATTCATTCATTTATTGAGAGTGAGAGTACAACTTGTGAATAATATGTGTGTCTAGCAAAGTAAAAAAAAAAACAGTCAATGTCATTTGACTTACTTAGTAACTTCAACTTACTTAGAACTAGTCACAACACACAAGCTCCAAATTTACACCTACATTTTTCAAAAGATAAAAATCTGAATTTGCACTCTCAATTTTAGTGCAAAGATCAGCTTTCCTTTTAGAATCTATATTATTTATGGTAGGAACAGTATTAGCTCTTCTAGAAGGCACTTTAGCTGGAGGCGGGTCTGTTGGTTCATCAGCTGA